CGTTATCTCCATTTTAAATATTATTTATGACTACAAAAATATGTGCATGTGCATGTTTATGTCTAAACCCAATATACATGTAGTGTATAATCTTTATAAAAGATTAGCAAGAATTTATCTTAATCATTCAAATTCTAATGGAATTTTCCTTTTGAAAGTAAACAACTTCTACCAACGTGATTTTTATTTGGTCTCATTTCCTTGTCCTACCGTCCTACAGCCGATACTGCTGCATAACGAACTTGTCAAAATCTTGTAAATGAGTTCAAAAGCAGTAAAGAGTAATTACAAAGTATGTCGTTTCGTAGCTCAAACTTTATATATATAAGGTTTCTTGTACTAATATGAAGCACTTTTGTTTTGGATTGCTTGGATTTGCAATCATCATCTAGAAATATTTGGGACCTGTAAATTAACCTTAAAGTGGACTGTACAATTCTTAGCCTAATGGAACATTTAAAACCTTTTCAGACAAGCTAATACATTCATTGTAAAATCACTTCTGAAAATTTTGAATGTTCTAGTATACACATGATATATTAAGATAACGAGCATTAATCGCGCTCAAAAGTCCATTGAAACAATACAAATTCTGAGCTGAGCAAACAAAAAAATATCAGAAGTGGGACCAAGTGCCATGGAGGAGTAAACATTCCTTGTCGACCGGTCACACCCGTCGTGTGCTTTTTGTCATAATCGGTAAACAGAGAAATCGGTAGTCAATTCAGTATGAAAATGGCCAAAAAATTTGTTTGGAAGACGTGAGTCAACATTCTACTTAACGACAGATTGTATTTGCTAGCAAAGTCATAGAATCGACATAGAATTTGTAGAAGTGTATGTGCCGACGTGTGTAAGAACATATATCAAAGGACATCTTTTTGTTGCTATATATATTGTTAAAAAAATCATCTTATGTTATTGCTAATTAAAGTTATTCATTCAAGAGTGAAAAACAATATTATGTATTTCACCAACGTATCAAATAAATGGCAATTATTTCAAGTTGATGAAAAATATAAAATACTTGCGATAATTATTAATTGGTGATAGTGCATCTTATTAAGTTTTTGAGAAAGAAACTGTGACGTTTTCACCATGTTACGAGAGTCTGTCTCGTTGTCCAAGACTGGTAAATTTTGTGTAAACTTCTACATTTTTTTTCTCTAAATGTTCGCTTTTCTTCATAAGTATTTTAGATTTAGTCGACTCAAGCCGATTTCTATCTTTCGTTATCTATTAATTTGTAATTGGTGCATTTAGATGCAACGTCCATCACCGCATTCAAGAGTTCTACAAATTATTACCATTTCCGGTGAAGTACACCGTTTCGCATAACATCACGATCCATTTTGACAGATGCGCCCAGCGTAAACAATCCACTCCCCCGGAAAAAGATCTGTCTGATTGGTCAACTCATTTTTTAAGCGGAGTCAAGTATTGCATCGAAAGCTAGGGCGAACAACTCGAGATGTTTTGTTTAGCACATACTAATATTTGAACAGTTTTAGCTCACCTGAGCTGAAAGCTCAAGTAAGCTTTTCTGATCACCCATTGTCAACTTATGTGTGCTTCTTGTCATGATCGGTAAATAACGGAAAAATCCATCGACAATTCAGTGTGTAAATAATGGCCTAACAATTAGTATAAAAAACGTCAGCCAGCATTTGACTTAATGATAGATTGTATTTGCTGACAAGGCCATTGTATTGACCAAAGAACTTACGAAATGATGACTGTTGATATTCTTGTTTCATCAACTTTTTTTTCAATAACTTACCTCGTTTTAGAAATTGTTCATACGTAGAGCATGCTCTTGGGCATCGAATCAACTGAGAGATATACACCCTATATGCAGGTGATAAGAGTATATTGCTGCATAAGTAAGGAAAGTTGGCGATTGAAAAGTTAAAGTCATCACGTTTATCATAAGGCTTTGTTGTTAGATTATCATTAACGTCTTTTTCTAGTAAATTATCCAAATATGAAACAGATGTGTCAGACTCTGTGGTATCTTTTATTTCAAGCTCACTGGGATATATCGTGTTGACATATGAATGGAAATAACTATTGTTGATTGATAATACATCGTCAATATATCTAAATGTCGAGTTGAAGGCCACAGCAAGAAATTTCTTTTTCTCATGTATAAGATTTTGAATATATTTTGCTTCATTTGAATACAAAAATAGGTCTGCTAACAACGCGGCGCAGTAGGTACCCATGGGAATTCCAACAGACTGTGGGAAGACCTGGTCTCCAAAAACCACATAGATATTGTCAATCAGAAACACAAGCATCTTTTTAATATCAACTTCAGAATACTTATGTGTACGATCAGAATATTTTTTATCGAAATAATTTTGTAAATGACCAATGACAAGGTAAGTAAATTTATGAGTTCCATTGTTATTGAAAAGCAGCTGTCAATGATGTTAAAAAGCCTGGACTATAATCTATCGTGGGAAATGGTTTTATACAGAGTTGAAAGTCTTAATTTTTTATGCTATTGATTTTGGTAAAATTTTGTGATTTCAAATTTTCCAATAGTTCCTTGGAATTTTTAAGTATCCACATATGATTTACTCCACTTCTCGAATATATTCTTGCACAGTACTCCTGAGGTTTCTCCTTCACTGCTGTCAATATTTTAGTGAGGAGTAAAGAAAGAGGCTTGGTAGAACGTTTACTGGAACCCGCTATATATCTTTGTAAAGATTTTTATCCTGGTGAGCTTGAGATAAAAAGTACCACAGAGTCTGACACATCTGTTTCATATTTGAATTTTTAACTTGAAAAAGACGTTAATGGTAATCTTACAACCAAGCTTTATGATAAACTTGATGACTTTAACTTTTCAATCGTCAACTTCCCTTACTTATTCAGCAGTATACCTTCATCACCTGCATACGGGGTTTATATCTCTCAGTTGATTCGGTACGCAAAAGCATGCTCTACGTATGTACAATTTCTAAAACGAGGTAAATAATTGACAATCAAGTTGATGAAACAAGAATATCAGCAGTCCTGTTTAAAGTCATCATTTCGTAAGTTCTATGGTCGATACAATGACCTTGTCAGCAAATACAATTTATCATTGAGTCAAATGCTGCCTGACGTTTCAAACTAATTGTTAGACCATTATTTACACACTGAATTGTCGACGGATTTTTCCGTTTTTTCCCGATCATGACAAGGAGCACACGGCGGGTGTGACCGGTCGGAAGGGGATGCTCACTCCTCCATGGCACCTGATCCGACCTCTAATGTTTTGGAGGTCCGTGCTTGCTCTGCTCCTATTTTGTATTGTTTAATGGACTTTCGAACTTGAATACTGTTCGTTATCTCCATATATATCGTTTAATTTTGAAGTTTTGGAATCCAATATAAATAGGGTAATTAAAATTAATTTTTGGTTGTTGAGAACATTAAATACATTCGAAACTGACATGATTTTGTAGAATTTCCTCCTTAGAAAGGGAGTTATGGGTATAAGTTGGAATGTCACGGAAAAATCCGTGTGAAAGTAATGGCGTAACAATACATATCAAAGACGTCAGTCATCATAAGACTAAATAATAGACTGCATTTGCTGACAAGTCATATTATCCATCATAGTATTTGCGAAAGTAAATATGGTGGTGTGTAAAAACATATTACAAAAGAATTTTTCGTTTTTCTTTTATTTATAGTTCAAATTTTAAAAAAAAATCTCATATTCTTTGTAATTACTCATTAAAGTTGCTTTTCGTTGCAAAGTGTTTTCATCAACGTATCAAATAAATATCAATAATTTTAAGTTCTACTGTGAAACACTTGCAATAATTGTGAATTTGTGATAGTGCATCTTATCAAGTACACAAGTTTTGTGAAGGAAACTAATATTTTTTCACCATGTCGAATTCTTTGTCGTAGTCGGTGACGAATAAATTTTGCCTATTTTTTGACACTTTCTTTTCGAAATGCTCTATTCTCTTCCGCAGTATTTTAGATTTGGTCAACTCTGAAATTGATTTGTATCTTTCTTTATCTTCTAATTTGTAATGGGTGCATTTAGATGCAAGGTCTATTGCTGCAGTCAAGAGTTTCTCCAAATTATATCGTTCAGCAGCAATGATGTATCCAAGAAGTGCGTCCAAAGTAATAGCAGAAGAAATTTGATTACAAGATCTAACAAGACGATCCTCACATTCATTTTTCTCGGCTGAATTAAGAGTGTCCCATAACAACACCATAAGATTCAAAATATTTTTTTTTGAACCTGGAAAAAAAATCAAATTACATTTAATTTATCTATCGTGACATATTTTATTAGATATACTGTGCGATCAATTTTCAAGTTACTATCAATTTTCAAGTTACGAACACGTTGCAGTAGCCTAGTGGTAGGGCGTTTACTTCGTGATCGGGAAGTCCAGGGTTCGATTCTTGTTCCCGGAGCTGCGTCAAACCTTGAACAAGACGTTTAAGATACACCATAGGTCGTGACTGTTCCTTCATCAAGCACCAGGCGTTAGAAGAGATTATACATGTAAATTCTCATTTAAGAATTTTTCACTTTCTTATGCCGGGTGCTTGGCAGAGGAAAAGTCACTATCTGTGTCTACGTCTTAATTATGACGCTGCGCGACGAACGAAAATCGAACCTGGACTCCAGATTATTAAGCAAACGCACTACAGCAAGACGAATGTGACTGGTCATTAAAGGAGAAAGTCAAAGTCTTTTGGATGAGACCTTAAATTCCAAGATTCCCAGTCACGGTGTTGGCACTTCAGATATCCCTCACTGTTACGACCGTAAGCGCCATAACTTGGTCGATATTTATGGCACCTTACCTAAAGCAAATGACGTCCCTTTAGGAGTGAAAAATTCTCGAATGAGACGTCAAACAACATACAATCAATCAAGTTACAATACCTGTGGTTAATGCTGGTTTCAATTCATTCTCAAATGAGGTAATTCGAAGCTCTGCAATCCTTTTTTGAATATCCGCGGAAACCTTAGCATCGATTCCTGCCAGCTTTAAAGACTGTGGAGGGCATTCTGCACATAACCGGAGAGCAAAGGGAAGTACTGAGTTCATGTTAAATTGTGCAGCACAAGCAGTGTAGTTTACAAGAGTACTGGTCTCAATGCGTTTTTCTATATCTCTAGCAGTGCTTTGACAGACTTCTCTGAGAAGTGATTCGCATTTATCCTTGACAGCTAAGATCTGATATTCCTCAGCCAGCGGAATAATCTTTAGTACTTTATTTTCTGGAACAAAAATATCATATTTTAAAGGAAACATACTCAGATTGTCCAGTTATATATTGGCAATATTATTTAGATTTATTCCGTTTTCCTGTTTTGGGGGTATACGTCTATGTTCATGATAAATTGAAATAATTTTTTGATAATTGTTTAATTATAGTTTAACTGATAGAATCTATTTGTCATATAACTGATTAAAAAACACACGGATCCACCCCCCTCGAAATTCCAGAGGCGGGAAATCAGGTGCCTAGGAAGAGGAGTAAGCATCCCATGTTGACCTGTCACACCCGCAGCAAACCCTATGCATTGATCAGATGGAAAGAACATTTCGAAGTCAAATTAAGTATAGAAACAAAGGCCTTACAATTGTTATGAAACGCGTTAGCCAAAATATACAAACCAGTGATAGTTTAAATTTGCTAACAATGTCATTATAACGACCAAAGAATATGATCAACTTATCTATCAGTAAGGGAGGGATTCTTCTTATAAGAACACTTATTTCTTATATTTAAAAATCAATGAAATTTTCACAGAATCAAGAAGACAATATCACTAAGTGATGGTATCACTTAGATTAAACTTGACCCTTTTTCTATTAGAGGCAAGGTCAGGTCAAGGTCAGTACCTTTTTCCCGGACATTAAGAATAAAAAATTACTGTTGCCAATCATGCGATGCCTACTTCTATTTCAATAAATTAAATGTTTTTCTTTTTGCATAAAGAGATATTACCATATAGGGTTTTTAAGATGATATTACCAAATTGACATAAATAATTCAGCTGAAATGGATATTGGCTAATCCTTTTTTTCTTTATTTTTCCCAAAATTTTAAGATATTTTAGTTATTTTTATATGCTTCCTATATTTAAATTTTTCTTATTGTCACATATGGTAAAGTTGTCACATAAGGATACAAAATGATATAAAAACAAAAAGAATTGACCGTTTACTAAGAGAGAAAAAACACTTTTTACGGATTTTTGGCTCAAATCTGAACTTAGATTGGAAGCTTTTAAAAGCTAACATAATTGTAGTTTGTTGTTAAGTCATATTTATTTGATATATTTTAAAACTGTAGTCCCTTATTATTAATTTAACTTACATTTAAAAATTTTCTCCAAGTCTATGATTGTGTAAAAATTATAACTAAATTCATAGTTCTATAATTATTTTGAGAGGCAAAAAAAAGATATTTTCATACGCCGCCATTCCGCCAAAAATATAGTCGCTGCTAGATTTCAAGCTCAGTTTACCATTTCTATTTAAAGTTGTACAATTGTGATGAGGAAAGAAAAATATGATCTTTTAAATCTCTTACATCTAAATTTATAAAACATATAAGCACATATACTTTCAATTTTTCATCAAGTCAGAAACCAGACAAGAATCCCTCCTTAAGCATATCTCAATTCCTGAAAATGAATTTCACGTAAATAAAATTTCCTAAACTTACAAAAATGAATTCAAACAAATGTAATCTGATTTTAAAAAATTGATCTCAAAATAGTCTCTAAATTTATTTGTTAAATTTACTTCCTATTGTGGTCCAACGACAGCCACAATGATTACGATTTTACAATTTTTTTAATAGATGCTTGCATATTTTTTCGAATAATTAGGACTAATTATATAAAAGGTTTAGAAGACTTTTCATGTATAGTCTTACACTATCATTGTAAGTAAAACCGTTTACCTTTTCTTATTTGTATTTAAGATGTATATTTTCAATCCAACTAAAAATTTTGCATATTGGATATATTTTACAATTAAAGAATACTTTTAACTGAAATACCCGGTTTTACAAAAAGTATTTTCTCATTCTTATTTGTCAGTCCAAAGGTATTTCCGCTTCTATTTCGCCCATACCTCTTACCTGTTATAGGTTCTTCACGTTCCGGATAATAAAAAGTGTATAAAAAGTCCACAAAATCAGCATATTTCTTCCCTGGCAATGGTATCTTTTCTTTGTATTTTTCAGTGAAGTCCGACTCAAACATGGCCTTAAACACAAGTGATTTTTCTGCTAACACCTGTTTGTTGACATGTATATCCCGGCCTTCCACCTCCAGTATGACGTCGGTAGGATGGAAATGTATTTGGGGCTCATCTTCCAGTGCAGTTTTCTTCGTTTTACAATGCACTTCTCCCGAGCGTTGACTTTGTCTTTTGCGTCCAGTCGCCATAATTGTTCTACTTTTAGGAAGAACCAGTAAAGCAAGTGTTAAGTTACACTGTGATCATTCAAATGTGTTATAGATTGAATTAAAATCTTTAAATGGGTGCTACTTGGGGGTGTTTTGAATTTATTCAAATTTTAAAGATTTTTATCTACGTTATTCGTATATTGTTCCTTTTGATGAACGATGGCAAAAATGATTGAGAATGTGTTTGAAATTCATACAGTTGAATTTGTATTCAATCTCTCCTTTTTTAAAATTATATTTTAAAAAAACCCTTTGGTATTCCCCTTCTTTTCAAAAGTTTGTGTGTTTTAAATATATTGATAGCAACCACGAATAGCCAGGAGTTAACTCAATATTATTTATTTATCTGTCTGGAATCGTACTGGTAGTCTCAGTATTGTCCTTCTCTGAGGGTCTTTACTCTTCATCCTAAACTTTGAATTGTATTTGGGTTTTTTTCTTCATCAATTTTTTTTTCTAATATTGGATTTGCAAGTCTGCTAGAAAATATCAATGCATACATGTCACAAACATTTCGGTAAACAAGTCATCAGGTCGTAGTTCAACGACGAGTGTTGACAAAGTAAGCAGTCGCCAGTGTCTCAGTATCAACATGATGAGGAATAAACCTAACTAAAATCGTAGATGCTATATATGTAGTTAAATTTTATTGTTATGTTTATATTTCTAATATTGAACATTAAATTAAGTGGCTTGGTGTCTCTATACTTTTTCCGACCGAAATTCCTCAACTTTTTATTATCCAGCATCGGATGTTTCTTTTAATTGTCTTTTCAACTATCGAAAACCGGTTTTCACGACAGAAAATCCCAGATAACTACCTGCTCACAATTATTGATCACAAGTAGCTTTTCTCAGAATATTCGTTCAATATAGGATTTACCCTTTGCTCAACCTGAATTGAAAGCGTAATCACCTTCCAGCCGATTTACACCTTGCACCGTTTAGTCAAAATCATTGGCTTATTCCAATATTTTTATAAAATTATCCGTCTCAAATGTATATATATATAAGAAATGAATAACACGTTTAAAAACTTTACTGGGAAATGAAGTGGGTCGTTCGATAATTAGGATAGTCAACTATTCGACTATCAATCGAATGGACCGACGATAATGAATCGACTTTCGAATGTTATCATAATTAAATAAATGCAACAAAAGAGTGATATTGGAATTCTCATCACAAAATTGAGAAACCGTCTTTTCCCAGAGACAGTCGAAAAGATAATTTTCCTCATAAAAAACGGTTGATTTTACCATGTATAGAACATGTAGAAAGTACAGAAATTATAAGTGCTTCACTACTGTCGCGTACTGCTAGAATTATTTATCAGTAACTGCCTGTGTTGTTTTTGTAATTAAATACCCACCAATTTATTAGGCTTTGTCTGTGAAATCATTAATTGGACTTGATCTTATACCAAGTACCAATTATTTTTTGTTATTTTAAGATTGCTCAAACGCAAGGAAGAAACCATAACTATGACATGTTTTGACACTTCGATAATTATTAAAACAATTTGCTTACATTTTAAACTGTATAAGGACATTTTGATAGCCAGAGCAAACAATAATCGAATAAGCAGTATCTAACTGTTTAACAATTTCACAAGCACTTGCCGTGATCGGGAGGTCGTGAGTTCGAATCTCGGCCGCGACAGACACAAGTCGATAAAAAAATGGGTAGCAACTGTTCCTTCGCCATGCGCTCGGAACTTTGAAATGAAAGTTGCGGGTCTTTCGGATGAGACGGGGTGTGACCCGTCTGCAGGGGATGCTCACTCATCCATGGCACATGATCCCATCTCTGATGTTTAGAGGTCCGTGTTTGCTCTGCTCCTATTTTGTATTGTTTAATGGACTTTTGAGCTTGAATACTGTTCGTTATCTTCATATATTTCATTTCACCTGAAAAACCGAGGCCCCGTGTCACGGCAGGCGTTGGCACGATAAAGATCCCTCACTGCTCAATGGCCCTGAGTGCCGAGTAAAGGTCAAAATATGAAGCCCTTCACCGGTATATGGTGACGCCTCTATATGATTGAAAAATTCTCGAATGGGACGTAAAACAATATACAATCAATCAATCAATCACAAGCACTTTGCGTGTGGATAGTGTGAGATTAACCCCCTCCCCCATTTTATTTCATAATAAGCCTTAAAAAATATCTCCTGGCAATTTTTTTTCCTTTGCTTACTAAAATAAAAACTGACTGCATGTACAGACCGATTTATGAATTCTATTGATGGGGAAATCATACATTTTGGAGAATTAGGTTTCGAAATTCAAATAATCATGCTATCCACGCGTTACGTTGCATAAATTTTGATTTTACTTTTTAAATAGATTTAAGTAAAAGGCTTTCTGAGTTATAAAATTTAATACATCATGTACCAGTGAAGTTTGAAATACAATTTTTTTTCCAGAAAATGTTCCGAATATATTCGGCTATCGTTCGAATAATTCAATCGAATAGTCGACTAAGGAAAATAAATATTTTGACATCCCTATTGATAATCAAATTTTCTGTGAAAGCCATCAGGATTTGATCACGTGACCGACCATATTTACTTCCAGATTTTAAACTAATCTGTCTTGTTATTTTCTTTTTCTGAAATAAAGTTTAACACGCCCCTTGATAAATACTTTTGTTAGAAGAAATCAAAGAAAAACTTCATAAAATTTTACATCTTAAATCTTTGTCATTTATTCTCATGTTTGGAAAATATCAACTGCATAAATTGATAACAGATGATTCCAAAAAGAAACAGGAGTTTTGATCTACTTATATTCAAAGACCATAAGTCAATATGACCGGATATATATGAGAAAAAGGACGTGTTTTGAAAAATGAGGCCCATAGCTTTTGAGGAAGTGTACATGTACATTATGACATTAATATGAATTACTTTGAAAACTGGGCGGATGTGTCGGAAATGTTAACAATAAATTATGCCGGGGTTAGACAAAAATACCTCTGAAAGTAAACCTACAGATGACCAGCATGGTCCTAAGGGTGGGGAGACTTCTGGTGGTCAGGCTCCTGATGGGGAGTTGGAGGCAGTGGGTGGGGAGACTGGGAATGACCAGGGCGGTCAGAGGAAGTACATCAGTGTAAGAACTGACGTCACAATGGAGGTAACATATACAAAAACTGTAAACAGGGAAATCCTTTTATTTTCGATCCTTTTATCCTCATTGCAAGGGGGAATTTTGATAGGGTCGATATCAAAGACAAAACAGACTTACCAATTTACCGCATCTTTGTCTAAGCGAATTTAAACGAAGCAAATCATTGCAAGTGTTGTAGGGCGAAAAAAAAAAACTGGGGTGGAAAAACTGTATGCAGAACTGTTCACAGTACTGCACAATTTCGGAAATTCAGAAAGGGTTCCATTTATTGTATGTCTCAAAACATAATGCATTTTTTAAAAACATTTTTGGGAAAAATTCAAATTTTTATTGAAGTACAACCAACAATATTATAAATTGTCCAACTCTGTTGCATTTTGCGCTTCAATCAAACTAGCAAAAATGTAAATACAAAAGATGAAATGGCAAACATTTCAAGTCCCAGAATTAACGCCAAATCAGGAATAACACGCGTTCTAATGAATTCCACAGTGTGCCTGCACAACCTTAACTGCGATTTAAAAGCGCTCTATCGTTACAAGACTGTCTAGAGAATATCTTTGTAGAGGATGTTTGGTATTGCAGCCATTGCCGCAGTTTGTTGATCTCTGTGTTTGCCGCCAGTTTCGAAGTCAAGGAACCTTATAGACAATGTTCTACATATAGAAGGGAACCACACGTCCAGACATGAGGAGATTACCACAACAGCTAGGACATTCACTCAGACCTTTATAATTCCCAATGACAGACCAGACCATAATTATTTATCTTCAGTCACCAGCTTCACTAATGTAGACTACCTCTGTTTCTATTCTTTCTTCACATGTTGATAATACACTGACCTATAGATGTAAAATAAAAAAAAAAAAACCAATCAATTTGTGTTATACAAATATCACAATAAGAGAAAAAAAAACAAAAATATTTTTGCAGGTTAAGGATTAAGACACGTGCTACAAATACAGATTGATATATATTTTTGGAGTTATTACACCCACAATTTCAAGAAAATTTTCGGGTATATTGTTGTTATTATGGTTCGTCCGTCTGTCACACTTTCTTCTTCTTGTAATTCATCTTACAATTTTCGCAGTAGCCATTTCATCGTTTGGTACATGAAGGAAGGTGCCCTGTACATGTGCAGTTAATATTAGAGTTTTCCTTACCATCCTGGGGTCAAATGAGGGTTGAAAATGACTTTTTCCCTACAAAACTGTGATTCCCAAAACTACACATTCATTTTACGCAATAGTCATATCATATTTTGCAAGATGATTGATGGTGTCAAGTAGATGTGCAATAAAGTTTCGAAATTTTCATTTTCACCCTTGGGTTCAAGTAACGGTCGAAAGATGTCGTTTTTAGCCCCCTGAGCGTGCCCGGCGTCTGTTTGTCGTCCGTCGTCTGTTGCTGCCGTGGGTCGTCTCTCCTCTGTAAACTTTCCACATTTTCGAGTTCTCAAAAACCAGTGACCTAATTTAATGCAAACTTGTTACGATGCGTTCTTGGGTAAAAGAAATTCAAGTTTGTTCCAATGAAGGGCCACATCCTCTTTCAAGGAGAGATAATACAGAATTAATGAAAATTTAATGGCATCTTTTAAAAATCTTCTTCTAAAAAATTACAATGTCAGAAAGGAGGAAACTTCTTTGATAGCTTCATACATAGTGATATTAAGGTTTGTTCAAATCATGACCCCCGGGGTTAGGGTGGATCCACAAGTGATCAAAGGCATGTATAGGGATATATAGGAATGTCTTTAGAAATCCTTTGCTCAAGAAAAGTAAATCTATAATAAGTTTTATAAATACAGAAACATCCTCAGTTAATGGACATTCAAGATT